AACACATAATGTCCGTACCTACACTAGAATAACACAACACATAATGTCCCTACCTACTCTATAATAACACAACACAAAACAACATATAATGTCCCTACCTACTCTATAATAACACAACACAAAACAACACATAATGTCCCTACCTACTCTATAATAACACAACACATAATGTCCCTACCTACTCTATAATAACACAACACAAAACAACACATAATGTCCCTACCTCCTCTAGAATAACACAACACAAAACACAACACATAATGTCCCTACCTACTCTATAATAACACAACACAAAACAACACATAATGTCCCTACCTACTCTATAATAACACAACACAAAACAACACATAATGTCCCTACCTACTCTATAATAACACAACACAAAACAACACATAATGTCCCTACCTACTCTATAATAACACAACACAAAACAACACATAATGTCCCTACCTACTCTATAATAACACAACACAAAACAACACATAATGTCCCTACCTACACTAGAATAACACAACACAAAACAACACATAATGTCCCTACCTACTCTATAATAACACAACACATAATGTCCCTACCTACTCTATAATAACACAACACAAAACAACACATAATGTCCCTACCTACTCTATAATAACACAACACAAAACAACACATAATGTCCCTACCTACTCTATAATAACACAACACAAAACAACACATAATGTCCCTACCTACACTAGAATAACACAACACATAATGTCCCTACCTACTCTATAATAACACAACACAAAACAACACATAATGTCCCTACCTACTCTATAATAACACAACACAAAACAACACATAATGTCCCTACCTACACTAGAATAACACAACACAAAACAACACATAATGTCACCTAAACACAACACATAATGTCCCTACCTACTCTATAATAACACAACACATAATGTCCCTACCTACTCTATAATAACACAACACAAAACAACACATAATGTCCCTTACTATACCAGATTGATACAACACGTAACAGAATAACACAACACAGTGGTGCTTTGTTTGCGATTTAACAGCTTTGAATATGAATACATGTAGAGCATTTACCATTAAAAGATTGAAAAATGATACCTAGAACTCACAAAAAGTGACTATTTCGGCAATCTCAAGTTACTGCAATAACAACCATTGATTTACGTTTGGACAAATCAAAATATAACGATATTTAAAGTGGCGCTTTGTCTACGATTTAACCCTTTTGAAGACGAATACATGTTGAGCATTTGCCAATAAATGGTTTAAAAATTTATACTTAAAATAGATAAAAAGGTGAATATATAGGCAATTTCCAGTTATCGCAATCATAAACCTTGTGTAATGGAGGACGGAGTTACTTTGGTTGTTAATGGACTATCTATCAATAACTACTGTGAGTGACTATGTTTTTCTGGTTTCATATTTATTTGATAAACATTACGTTTAATTAAAGTGTTTTTGTGTATATGTGTATTTCAATTAGCATTATTGCCGTGATTTAGCTTGAACAATCCGTTTTTAAAATATCACATACTTTGAGTTAATTGTTTATAGCTACATATACAATACCACTAATCATTTGTTTATCTTTTTATTTATCAATCTATTTAGTAGGTTTAATGGTTTTGTTTTTATACTTTAATTTCATATAGTGGGGACAGGTGCTGCCGGAGCGTCGGAACCGACACCTACTGAGGTAAGTTGTAAACATCGTTTCTACAGAAGTGAAATATGCATAGATACATTGTATCTTACTACCGTGTTTTATCACACGACCGCCGTTTTAACACGTATTTGTCTATCAAACAAATAAACAAAAGGTACGTTCAATTGATAAACCTTTTGGAATGGAAATTTATAAGTGATTTTATTTGTTTAGTGGAATTTCTTTTTGTAATATGATCTATAACATCGTCAAGTATATATATATATATTTAACCTAATCAAATATAATTTCGCTATATTTAGCGTTTAGTGTTTTATACCTGTAGCTTTGTGTTTCTTAATTAGCGGTAAGTAAGTATTTTCATCACACAAATAAACCGTCAAAGAAAGTTAAGGAAAAGCAAATTTGTTACAGGACGCATGCGCAGCATCTCCATCCAGAAAGGGGAATGACAATGTATCCCAGTCGGACAGTGTTCCTATGGAGAGTTTCAAAGCTGTGCTTCAAGAAAGTTTGAAAGATATGTCAATCGAACTCTGTCAGGAACTAAGGGAGATCAAGAAAGTACAGGAGAGGCAAGAGTGCAATATAAACTTACTATACCAGGATAGACAGAATGACAGAGAAAAGTATGAGGATTTGCTAAACCAACACAACGAACTCAAAGAAGAGATGGAAGAAATCACGCAAAGTTTGGAAAATTTAATTGAAGAAAAAAATGAAAAATCACAGAATCTAGAATCTGTGCAGCAGGAACTAAACGAGATGTTAAGGCATCACCAATCATGTGATGTTGAAAATCTTCGATCCGATATACAGAACAAGGAAAAAGAAATAGAAAGTCTGAAATCAAGAATTCGAGAACTTGAACAAATCATTGAATCAAGCAATGAAAAACAGAAGCTTAACGTAGCTCAGGTCTGTGAAGTAAAGCAGAAAATGGAAATGCTGAAGGAAGAAAAAGAAAAACCTGAAAAAGGAAACAGCGTCCGATTGAATGAAAGTGGGGAGACAAAAGGTCGCGACGACATCGTACCTGTAACAAAGCCAGACCAAAAATCGGAAGAAAAGCAAACAAAAAAATCTAATGTTATAGCAGGGAGTCCCAGACCACATCGCCAATCTGATACGAGGAAATTTCGCCCTGGACCAAAGACCTATAACACAAGAGAAGACAAATACAACACTACTCGACAGCAAGCCTTTGTTGGTACGAAGCCGCCCAAAGTCTCACACAACATTGTTTTTAAGAAAGCTGGACAGAAAAACACGAATGATAAAACGGGATGCCAATGATAAAATACTTCTAACGCTGGTGACGAACGTTTCTTCACTACACTTTTCCTTCTTCTGAGATGATGATGATGATGATGATGATGATGATGATGAAGACTGTGTCTTTGCCACACTTTCCTAAATGCTGTTGAATTGTGACATATTATCTAACCTTCGTTATTATTATCATCAATTCTGTAGTTCTGGATCCTGTGGTCCTGGGATCTGTTGAATTGAGCTCGGTGAACATCCAGATTGTGTTTCTGTCCTGCATGTGTATGTAATGTTCACATAAAAGGCAAAGAGAAAAATATGGACTATCAAACTAGTTCCTTATCTACATTGTTCTAAAAAACAAAAAATATGAATTTCATTTGCATGTGTTTGGGTGTTTAAGGCATTTTAAACATGGTGTCTTGGGTAGACGAGATAAGATATATATACAGTATATGTGGTGTAACATTTACGTGGAAATTAAAAATTCATGTTACATAAGCAGTTGACATAACAATCTTGGACAAGTTGACTTCGCAGTCAGGTGTTAACATGCCGCCGAACCCACCCTTCCAGTCTGAGCTGGTATTCCTTACATTGTGTGTTGTGGCTCGATGATTGACAGCGCTATTTTTATACCTGAGCTCACCGTGTAATTAGGTCAATGTTTTGGGAATAACCTAAAGTTCCTTCTTTAAATATCAATGACTCAACATTCCTTCCTTATCACATGATTTTCACGTTTGTCTTATTGTATTACATGTTATACCTATATATAAACATTGTACCTTACAAGCAATTACGTGTAAGATTATTGCATACATTTATATCTATTAATAAAGTGCCTTACTTATCAATGTGTTTTTGCGTATCAAGGGTTATTTTCCAAGTGACCAATACAGTTTTTATCTTCACAAAATATTTCTCAACCAAAACTGTTGAATCTCTTTTCAAACAAATCGTTCCATTTCTCAATGATATGATATATCCGAGACAAATTGAATTAATATTTACATACTTATACTTGTTGAAAGGCGAAGATAATCATCGGTGCATAACATGTCATGAATCATTCACCGTTAAACATTTTGGATAAGACTGCATTGACCTTCTGTCTACTCCAGAAATTTTGTATCGTAACATTGCAAGTCTAAAGACTTTTTTTGAAACTGTTGAGATTTACAAAATTCTAGGTTATCTGAAAGATGTTGGTCTGTATTATAGACTATGACTTACATTTTAATCTTTTGTGATAATATAACCATTTAAAATGTTTAGCATTTGTCTTTTACCTTTTAGTTTGTTTGATGTTATTTCCTTTTGGATGGCTGTGTGTTTTTCCGGTTGATGGTCCTGACACTTTATGTGAATGTCATAATAAAAATTATAGCATCGAATTAATAAAATGAGGGTGGAACTATAGTGTTTCATTACCGCTGCTCTCTTGCATACTTCACTTACAATATGATGTATGTTCTTCATGAAAATACCTTCAATAGAAGGAAAATTGGTTTGTGGTCGACATGCGTTTCAACGCGCAACATAGAATATGTCTGTATTGTACAGAATGTACTTTTCAAATCTTATACGCCATTTTCCCATCTGTGGCTAAATCAGCTTCTACAAATAATATCTAAAAGACGAATGTAAGGGTACAGATGAAACAAGCGGGGTTAGAATTCACAACTCGTTTACAAACACATTTTGCTACTTACGTGAAAGCGATTATTTTCTCTTTATGGATCGTAACACAATGACGAAAACATTTCCTCAAAAATCTAATAATATTGTTATGTATCTCGCTGTAACGCATTTGAATCATGTCTAACTCAGGGAAGGTAAACGTAAAAGGTTTTAACTAAATGCAATTAAAATTAAGACCTAAAAAGCTTTCCCCAAATACATCACGGTATGAAAATATTAGATATTGCCAAACATACATCTGGAATATTTCGGTAATTAAAACAATTTTGTTTAATTAATCACTACCTAAACTTATTTAAGTAGTAATTCGATCAATATAGATAAAGCTTTGGTAATTTTATACCTCTGTAATGCTTTATTTTCATATTCACTTCCATACAATTATAACACTCCTCCAGCTGCTATTTAAATGATCCGAACTTTGGTGCCGCTCATACGTTGATTATAACATCAATGATCAGTACTCGGGACCTGAACGATCATTACTGGAATGTGTGAATGATGAAGAATATAATCGCTCGTACTTCCCAGGAATGTCCGTCGCAAGGTACCCAGACCACGACTTCCGGTCACGATATAATCAACTTCCTGTTCCTTAGCTGTCCGCACGACTGCCTCGCCTGGTTCCCCAACAGCCCGGATCACTTGTCCGTCCACCTGTTGGGAGTTAATCTATATTCAAATGGTTGAGACAGAAACATGTAAAAATTTCCCTGAGAGCGTAATTTGAAAACAGTCAGTAGAACATTTTCATCAACTTACTTCTACGAGCAGTTTCACAGTATAACAGTAATTCGAAAGAGTGTTAGCACTGTGACAGATTAATTGTCCTTCTTAACCCGTCATGATTTGTGTTTAAGCTGTTTTACATCATTTGTGGCAGTTGTTGAAATCGTTTAATGTAAATAAATTTATTTTGACAAACGATGAATATTTATATACCCCCATTGAAGTTTGTCACAGCAACCTAAAACATCGCAAAATCAATCATAACGATTTTATCCTTGTACCGTTAATTCTTCACATTAGACTTTTTCATAATCAAATAAATAAATGCCACTACATTGCATTACAATTTAATGGAAATGATGACATCAGATCTGAAGGATGAATATGTGTCCACATAATGCTAAATGGTATCTTAAAGAAATATAGAAATATTCAAGATATCCAACTTAATTAAAACCAGACAGGTAACACTGTAAAAAACAAATAAAAAACATTCAGATTTATTCACCTTGTCGCTATGACGATGTCAGTGACAATATAACATACCATAGATCGTTTAATCATCTCCGTAAACTTGGCCAGTAGAAGCTTGATGCGATTCTCCTCTTCCGAGATCATTCTCATCACCAAGGTCGAGTCCAGAGACATCACAGCTATTTAGGGAAAAATTCATTGAATTTTCAGAAATTATTAATAAATATGGAGTTTTTAACGACATATTATTACTACAAATACAATGTACACCGGTATCGTAAGCTTTTGATTTGCTAGAAAAAAAATTCATATTACCCTGAGCGATATCCTTCATAATGACAGTATATTGCTGTTTAAAAATGTTTTATCTCATATATATATATATATATAAGCGTTACACGAGAGGAAAATACGTCTGTTAGCAGAGATCGACACCCTGACGACTTACGTGTGTGCACGAGTCCTTTGTAGTCAGCTACATGGCAAAGGACAACATGGTTACCTCCCTTGTGACAGAAGTTCATGTACCCTGTTAAATGATAGTTATTTATTAATGGTTGCAGGTAGGTAACTTTTAATTCACGTATATTATAGCGTTGTTTGTTCACTTCAAGTGATATGAAGCTTCATCAAATATCCACCAACGAAATGACAAACGTGTAGCAGTTGCTTTTGTAAGTCTAGTTATTGTCTATAAATAACGTGTACTTATGAACAAATCATAACTAATATTGTTGCAGTATAGGAGCGAAAAAAGAGCTGGGAAAAAGAAGGTTGTGAAAGATTATACAAAACAATCGTAGTAAAACATCTTCATGATCAAAGAGCGATGTGAGTCGAATTCGAGACGTTTCGTTGAGGTAGGTATAACTATGTGTATAGTATAGTATACTAGGACAGAGAAGATATTTTTAGAGTCTAGAGCTGATTGCTTTGTACAGACACAAAATATGTAAATGACTGTTCAGGAAATATTCTCAAATTCCCACACGTTATTACATTTGATTTTGGAAGTTTACTGACAAGTGTCTGTTCAACATTTCGTCACAGTATCCTATCATGCCGTGTGACTAATATAGCTAAGAGATCTCGGTCAATCTGGCGTTTTTATAACATGCCAATACATCGAACGAGTGTAGCCAATGACGTGCCGTATATAATACGAGACTACCGGCAGGGTCTTCACCATAATATCACATCTAATATAAGGATTCAGTAAGCTTCCATGCCTTTTTTTTTTAATTCTACGTAGATTTCCCACGAATATTTACTTTTTCAGTAGGTATCCTTGTTACAGTTAGCATCCTTCTAAAACTAAAAATTTTCTGTTTATTTCTCGAAAGTCACATGAAATACAATATACAAAAAGTGATTTTAAATGTGTTTTGGATAAACTGGTCATAGAAAACTTTCCCTTTCTTGTGGTCGTTCAGGTTTAAACACATGATGTATGTAATGATAAACGTAGATCAACATGTCGATAAAATAAGTCTGGAGGGGTGCAATGCTTCCATTCAGTGTGACTGCGCTATAACACCGCCACTTAGTTGCGGCAGTAGCCCATTCAGAGTAAGGGCACGGCACATTTTAACCCTGTTATCTAATTCTCAAAACCTGGAATCTGTATTTTTCAATGTACTGTCTCCAATATTGCTAAACAATCCCTTACGTTTCTTAATTGTTTCACCCTTCAGCAAACCTGTACTTTCGGAAAACGAGCCCAGAATTAAATGTTGATCTGTGACAACGTTTTTGATACGGATATGTTTTATATATATATTTGTCGAAAGAGAATGGTACAGTCGATAGAAGGAGACAGGTACAGCTGTTTCCCTTTCTAGTATACTTACATGTCTCACCACGATTAGATGGTATAACATGTAGGTTAAATCCTGTCGATAGAAGGAGACAGGTACAGCTGTTTCCCTCTCTAGTATACTTACATGTCTCACCACGATTAGATGGTATAACATGTAGGTTAAATCCTGTCGATAGAAGGAGACAGGTACAGCTGTTTCCCTCTCTATTATACTTACATGTATCACCACGATAAGATGCTATAACATGTAGGTTAAATCCTGTCGATAGAAGGAGACTGGTACAGCTGTTTCCCTCTCTATTATACTTACATGAACCAGAGTACTTCCATCCCTATAGTAGCACCACTTACACGAACCGTAATTGCCGACACTGTCATTCCTAGATTTTATCTCACAACTCTCGGAATCCTGTACATTTGCTGGACTGAATAACTAGGTGTAGAACACTTAGGATAGTCTGTCTGGTACCTACTGGATCAGTGAACAGTCCATAGCTTTTATCATTAACACATTTTAACGCACCTTCGGTAAGAAGAGTGTCACTTTTAAATATTGATAAGTTGACCCCTCTTTGATGCGATCATTTAAAATGCTCATTGTACATATAGTTAGCGGGCACAGTTTCTTAATGTTGTCTATAATATACAGGTGTAACAAAATCATTATCGGAGTTCAATTAAAGATGTTAGTTATTATTCTACATGTTGCCAATGATTGATTTTAATTTATTATTTCAAATTAGAATTTTGAGTTTAAGATTTAAACAAACACTGTACATACACTGTTTTAATTACATGTAAAAACAATGGTATAACATGCTTCATCAAAAAGCCCAGTCAACACATAATGTGTGTAAGCAGTGATGTTGTTTCATGTCCTCTGACAATATTACCATAATTACGGCGTTTATCACAGCGTCCATTAGATAGTTAAACGGATAATGCACACAACCCAGGCGCCTGTGGTAGACCTACACGTGTCTGTGGTAGTACTCAAATCGCAATGTTGGGGGGTTTATCTGTTATCAAGTTTGCACGATCATCTTAACTTAGGCATTGTAGATAACCTACCGTTGTATATGTGTGTGTATGTGGGACGACTTCAAACTGAAAACAGCTCAAGTCATATATACAACAGATCTTCTAAACTGAATGTCAGAGTCCTACGTATGTCCGTCAGCATGTGTAATGTATCGCTAGCCCCCATGTACATGAATGCATTTATACATTATAAATATATACGAGCATCTACTTAAGACTGAAGTAATGAACGGAAACATAACTTTAGAACTCACAGTTAAATGCATACTCAGCATTCTCGCTGCCGTCCATTGCGATGAGAACTTTCTTAGGACCCTCTGAAGTTTGTTTAGCCATGTTCGCAACAAGTCGGTAGGAAGTCTGCAGTTCTGGAATAACCAGAATTTGTAAACCATGTACTATCAATGTTGTACTTTTGTGTTGATGCCATGTACGTCATCATAACGTGCTACAAACTACTGATCGTCATTGAAACGTGTGCACCCTCCTTGGTATGTTGAATGGATACATTTATTAAGATAAACATATAAAAACAATAGTATGTAGTTTTCAGACCTGTATTAAGTAAGGTACCCGATGATATCAGAGACATTATAACAGTTTGATTTTTCATAAACGACATATTTAAAAGTTTACTTAAAAATAAATTACAACGGTTACTATTTTGTTCAAACGAGAGGATTTACTACCTGTACAACGTAAACAAGAGGCATTCTATGTAGATTTACCTTCATTGTACTGATAACGTTACTTCACAACGTAACGCTCGAGAAATATGCAAACATTAATTCTGGTGGATACAGATTTTTATTTTTTGTTTTTGTTTTATTTCATTTTTGTTTAGTATCCGACGTACTTTGAACAATGACAATTGTCGAATCCCGATTGGATAATCATTGGAGGCGAACTGAATATGTTTATAATCATAAGCGAGACAATAACACACTGATCCATTTTCGGGATACTAATTCTTTTTAACTCTGATCTGGATGTATAGGCTTAATAAGCCTGCGTCCAGTACATTATTATTATTATGACGAAAAGTATCTAGTAACAAAACGTGTTTAATTGTTTGTGACGAATCGGCAAGCAAATTTATAATCACAATAAAAATAGTTCAGGTGTTAAATACGTTTTAAATTATTATATCTTAATTGGCAAACTTCAAATATAATTGGTCTGTGTATTTATATACGTTTGTCTAGAAACATTATATTTCTAACTTGTCATGTGACTAGGAATGAAGGAGGAAGTAAACAAAGCACGGGGAGTGATAGACATTGACAAGTTGTGAGTTAAGGTATGTGGACAGTGTATCACCTGTTTCGCCTGCGTGGAGAAAGAGCAGATACATGATCTACATATATACAATGTATTTTAAACATACAAAGTTTGTAATATACACCTCTCTGTCTCTGTGTCTCTCTCTCTGTGTGTGTGTGTTCTCTCTGTGTGTGTGTGTGTGTGTGTGTGTGTGTGTGTGTGTCCCTCTCTCTCTCTCTACATGGTTGTTGGTAAAAACTCTCTCTCTGAGGAATGCACTTTTTACTCTCTCTTCTCTGTTTCTGACTCTGTCTCTCTCTCTCTCTTCTCTGTCTCTGTCTCTGTCTCTCTCTCTCTCTCTCTCTCTCTCTCTCTCTCTCTCTCTCTCTCTGTCTCTGTGTCTCTGTGTCTCTCTTTCTGTCTCTCCCTCTCTCTCTCTACATGGTTGTTGGTAAAAACTCATACTTGTGAGGAATGCACTTTTTACGTGGTAACATTTTCTCTGTTTCTGACTCTGTCTCTCTCTCTCTGTCTCTGTCTTTCTCTGTCTCTCTCTCTGTCTCTGTCTCTCTCTCTCTCTCTCTGTCTCTCTGTCTCTGTGTCTCTGTGTCTCTCTTTCTGTCTCTCCCTCTCTCTCTCTCTACATGGTTGTTGGTAAAAACTCATACTTGTGAGGAATGCACTTTTTACGCGGTAACATGTTTGGAAGGAATGTCATCTCATTTCTGTGAGCAATACAAATTGTTTTCACATCACTAAATGTTAGAGGGAATGATATTTCATAATTGTCAGCAAGGAATACAATATTTTCATATTGCTGCCTGGTTGTGTGGAATTATTTCTCATGCTTCTGAGGAATACAATGCTTTCACATCGCTAAACATTTGTGGGCAACAGTATCTCTTACTGGTTAAAGTACAATGTTTTCACACTGCTAAACGTTTGTGGGGAATATCTCGTACATATATGTAATTGTGAGGAATATAATTTTTCACATTGGTAGACGATTGATGGGAGTGATATCTCTTATTTGTGAGGAATACGTTTTCACGCTGTTTCATGGTTGTGAGGAATGATTGCTGATATTTGAGAGGAACACTATGTTTTCACACTTCTGATGGTTGTGAGGAATGATATCTCAAACTTGTGGGGAATACAATGTTTTCACACTGCCACTTGGTTGACGGGAGCGATGTCTCATATTTGTGAGGAATTAAATGTTTTTACATTGTTTCGTAATTGTTGGGTGTGGCATCTCTTTTTTGTCAATACTATATTTTCACATTGCCAAATGGATGTGGGGAATGTCATCTCAAATTGGTGAGGATTTTTTTCACTATCTAAACGTATGTGGGGAAGGATATCTCATACACGTAAGGAATACAATGCTGTGACGCTGCTGAACGTTTGTGGGGAAGGATATCTCATACACGTAAGGAATACAATGCTGTGACGCTGCTGAACGTTTGTGGTGAGTATTATCTCATACACGTAAGGAATACAATGCTGTGACGCTGCTGAACGTTTGTGGGGAAGGATATCTCATATACGTAAGGAATACAATGCTGTGACGCTGCTGAACGTTTGTGGGGAAGGATATTCCATAATTAGATGTCATTTTTACTTTCCTGTTTTGTCCGTTATTTCTGCTCGAATCTGGAATTCAATTACCAATATTTGGTCTGGACTGGATACAGAGCAATTATCTACAGTGAATTTAGTTGATCCGATCAGGCCTCAATGCATTTTTCCAAGTAATGCCTACAAAGCTGACAATGGAAATAATTTCATTCTCTGAAATGTGAATTAAATTATTAATGAACTTAAATTGCTTAATGTTGAAAAGTTAAATACCACGTGTACTGTGTATGTATTTAACTTTCAGAATTAAGTAACGAAAGAAAAAATATAGTAATCAAATTAGAAGTTAAAGTAAATATTTCTCCTACACCTAAGAATACATGAATTTTGTTATGTACATTGTACTTTCACTACATTGCTTCCACATTATTTGCCCTAGTCCGTCGGTAACATGCAAATTGACAAAGCCAACAAAATAAAGGCGCAATAATTTATTTCAATAACTAAATATGAAATGTTATTACAATGACAAATGGCAACTCAAGAGCTGTGAGACAAATATGTCCAATCTACCAAATTATCGTCACTTCCTCTAACAGAATGATGTAGCCATACATTGAGTGGTTTAAGGAGAGGGCAAACCTATAGAGTTTTATTAAGTAAAAGATCAATCCCGAAATATCGTTTATACTATAAATATAAACTAGAAATCTTGATGTAATTTGTTAATTCTGAAAGTAACAACTAGGATTTTTATGTTAAGCTACATGCTAGTGAGGAACGATATCTCACACTTGTGAAGAACACAATATTTCACACTGTTAAGCATTTGTAGAAAATATTTCATACTTGTGAGGAATACATTTTTTCACACTGCTAAAACATTTGGAGGGAACAATATCTCATACTTGTGAAGAATACAATGTTTTCACACGCCAAAACATTTGTGGGGAACAATATCTATATATGTATTTTGTCTGTTTGCATTGTAACTTTTCAAAAGTTGTTCTTATTTTCTTTAAAGCACATTTCATTTCAATATGTAAAACTTGTTTCAAAACTTGTTGATTTCAGTGGGAATGGTGACGTTGTAAATGCAAAGAGGAAAACATCCTCACATTGGCAGGTTTGGCTTCTAAGAAGAGTAAGGTAAGATGCCAGCACTTGACAAATGTATTTATGATAGGGTTATTTGTCAGTGATACAGTAGTATTTACATTTTAGCTTTGCCCCGCTTCAATGAAACTAGTTAACTTCAGTCACTTCATTTGTCAATGAAAGAAGTGAGTTGCGTGTTTTTGTTCTTGGTGAAAAGATACATTTTTTTCTGTTCTGTAACATTGCTGTACAGGTCTACAATGTACTCGAGCTCAATGTGTTCACACATAAAACGGCTGTCTTGTCTGCCTATGAAAAATACATGCATGATGCAGAAAGCTTATAAATGTATGATCAAACAAAGCACTGACATTCCTGAAAGCATCAATATTATCACTCAGACAATCCTATCTTACTCGATATTCTCATAGCTTGCCTACCAGATTTCTTGCGAAATATGTTCTGCTCTGTCGGTCAGATTTCGTTATTACAATATCAAATAATGTTCATAAATGGTCAGGTAAATAAAGCATCTCTTCAAAGCTACAAGTGTTATTTTTTAACAATTCAAATGCCATTCATTAGCGAGATATTATAGAATGTTGAGCTTGTCTAGACTGCATGACCCTACTGTATTACATAGCCTAATATATGTCTCACCTTTCTTGCTTAATTATCTGTAATGTCCAAGTCCATACAGAAATATAATAGTATGATTAAATTAACAGGCTAAACCAACTAAGTCCAGTTTTCAGAGTGTTATTGATGTCTTATCCCAGATAAAATATTGGATTTTAACTCAAATTCTAAAACTGCATGCACCATCAGTTTTTTTACCCCAAAAACTAAAGTGGTAAAATATTTCCCCATAAATCAGGGGCTAGTCGGTATGATGGTATGAACAAAGTGACCAACTTAATTGGATAACAAGAACTGTACACAGTTAAAAACAGACTTCAATGCAAATGTTGAGGCAGTCTCGGGCTGCTGGAAAAGTAACACCTTGGTTTCGCCTTCTTCATCTACTGGCAAATGCGAAAACAAAAATAGTTTAGATCTACCACAGTATCAACAATTACTGGTATCACTCAACAGATTTTAGTAAACACTTTCGTAAGGCACTTTGACTGAAGATATACAAATGAACTTACCTTGGTTTAGGCTTTTGAGAGAGGATAAATACAGCAAAATTTAGGGAGATATTTTTAATAACATAGATAGCAAAATTAATTTTAGCATTTCAATTAAAATCAACTCGCTAAATTAGCTAAATCTGCATCCTGCTAAATAACCCGCTATAGGGTACCACATTAATTTAGGGTATTCATAGAAGACCATGGAGTGTTTTTTTATGCTCGATTTATATTGGTTATTTACCTCTCATATGAGTGTTCCTCATCATCAGATGGCTCCGGGCAGTAAAGTGGAGCTCTGTCGTCCTCA